TTTGGAAAAGGTCTAGGTGCATTTTTTATTTATTAAATTTTGAAGGCTATGTGTAACTTTATTTTTGTGATCTCGTATATAAATAACTAGATGTGAAATAACTTTTATAAAATAAACAGCTAAGTGAATAAAATAAGTAAATTGAATGTTATTGACACAAAACCAATGGTGAGATATTTGTGTTGCATTTTGCTGTGTCTTGAAGTGTGTGCAGTATTGGCACAAAATGGCAAAAATAAGACATTGAATAAAAATTGTCTTCAATCCGAGTTTGACAGACACTCGAGTAATGTGTTCGGACAGTTCGGACTACCGGAGCTCAAGTTTCCTGAATCCCGGTCCCAGTTGACCACATACTGCAGGTATAAATTAATTTATAAATTATTTATAAAACTTACTAATTATTAACGTTATTTACATGTAGTATTAAAATATGATTTTATAGTGCGAGGATCAGTTTTATGAAACTATTTTTGATAAAACATTTATGCATTTTAAAAATAATTTAATTAACAAGCTCAAGCTTTGTTCAAGTTTACCAAAATTATTGTAAAATTCATACTTTGTATGAATACATTCAGATTTATGCGTTAAAAAATTTATAAAAATAATATTTTTCTAATATATCAATAGAAAGGCCAAAGAGAGCACAGATTTTTCGAAACAGTACGGAACCAATTGTCTGAAGAGCACATCCCAGACCCTGATGTCTTTGGCCACATATAACTTCGACAAAGTTAACAAACAGTACTGCGCCAAGAATGGCAAACTCAAGGATGCCTGGGTCAATTGGTCTAAGTGTGGCAACAAGGCTAAGCCTAATACGGAAAAGTGCTGGGACACTATGATTGTGAACATGGCTAACACCAAGAACGTTAAGAATAGTAAAAGTAGGATTCCCGCTATATGTTGGTATGTATTACATTGTATTATATACTAATTAAATTAGTAAAATGAGTAGTTTTAAAAAATTATAACTTTATATTAATTTATTTGTATCAATGTCCATAATATTATATATATTTTTAATATTACCGGTAGTTATGTTACGGTATCATAATTGACCTATTTTACTTACTGCATAACTAAATGACAATAGATAGAAATATACTAGTAATAATAGTATTTTACATGTAAATAAAATTATTTATTTAAACATTTGTAATATTTATAAATTATTTAATGATTATTTAGCACTTATTACACGTGGATTAAATGTACGCGAAAGGCATTGGAGGACATGGGTGAGAAAACATGCAAACCAGACGCTGTGGACGGGTATGCCGTACACATCAATAAGGCAT